CCCCAAAACCCCAAAACCCCAACTCCAAAGATTTAAAATAAATATTGGTATTTTATTTTGTTATTTATTCTCAAAGTTTAGGTTAATTTTTCTAGTACCCATGCATATACTTCTCAAAGAGATTTTCAAAAGTATATTTACTACTCTCTTTCTGATCTTTATTACTTTTTTCACGCAAAAATTCCTCTAAATTATGCACTCCCTTGTATTAAGACACAATATCATAAACTCGTTAATCTAATTTGTTAGCTTTAATCAAGTTTAAGATATCGGGAACTTTTTATCTCAGTTCGTTTATAAGATGAGCTTGCACCTAGCCTCTTCCTAGGCAAATATTATAGTCAGTTGTAGTCCACCTTATCAGCTAAATTTAGGAATCAAATATATCTCCATATAATCTACACAGGTAATCAGTGATCATAATTGCTACTTGACTATCTGGATCATAAAATTTATCCTTAATAAATGAAAATTATGTATCAGGAAAATCATTCATTTTGTCAGTTACATCTTTTCTTAATTGAAAAAACTCTGGATTAATTTTACTCCAATCTCCTTAATATTTCTCTATTAAATCAGCTATAATCACACATTCTTCCATACCACCATTAAAGCCTTAGCCACTAAAAGGATTCATGGAATGTGCAGAATCTCCTATTAACTATAAATTACCGAAATTCCAAGGCGAACATTTCATATTAAGCAATCTGGTAATCTATGATTTATCATAGAATTCCTTCATATTAGGCATTAAGTATTTAGTGTCTGGATAATTTTTATGCATGAATTCCTCAAATATTTTATAGTCTTGCTTAAAGTATTCAAATGAATTCTCACCTTTAACTTTTAGATATAAACCTATATTTATATCTCCTTCATAGTTAGGCATTCCCCACATGACCATGTCTAGACCTTTTCTAGGCCAGTAGAAAAATGTATTCTCTTATACTCTAAATGTACGCCTACCATTTTCATCAATCATTGCTGGGATTTGTAATTCAGTGTAGCCATAGCCACTATATTAGAGCGAATAGCTAAAGCCTGGTTATTATATAAATGCTTGCTTGACGACTGAATGTGTTCCATCTGCAGCAAAAATCTATTCATAATCCCCCTTTTATTCCACAATACCATCTTAATAAGTGACTTTAAATGTCTAGCTCTATACATCGACATTATGGACTTAAGCATTGTAATTAACCTTTATTTTTTCTGAGTAATCTTGAATTCTCCTTGCCAGTGTTTTTTGAATTCTAGCTCTGTTTATGGAATAGCTTCTGTCTTATTCTGTTTTACCTCCAAAGTAAACATCAAACTCATCTTAGTTTTATAAAATGAATTTTGTCCTATCAAGTCTAGCAGAGTACTTAAAGATTTCTTCAAAAACTCCACATCTCTGTAAAGCATCTTGTGATCTTATCCCAAATACAAAATTTGTTGATCTCCATTCGTTAGATTGTAAATTTTCTAGAGGATTAGGTCTCTTTTCGAATAGGTCAATATTATATCCTTTTTGTGCTAATATAGTTGATAATACAGAACCCACAGGGCCAGCCCCAATGATAGCAAGTCTGTTCTATTTTTTCATATATTTGTTAATTATATCTTAAATTCAATATACACGTATTTACATTTCGAATGACGTCAAGGGGTTTTGGGGTTTTGGGG